ACGTATCAAATTCATTCGTACGAGATCGGTTCATGCCCCGTTTATAACGATACTATGTCAATATAAGAGTCAACCAAGATTGGGTTCTGACTTGATGAGATGGTCTGTCAAAGTCGTTTTAATTCACCCTTACGTTACCAAAGGGACCTAAGCTTTGCATTTTACGAGCGAAGGTCACTCGCGAACAGATGACGTCAGAAACCTGATGTCTGATGTTTGGGTAGGTTTGTCGACATATTTTCCAACCCTGACATAAATGACATCTGCAAGTAAATTATTTTTGTTGTCATGCAAATCAACGAGAGATATGACTTTCTGCATAGGTTTAAACCCTCACCTCAACCATTTTTCTGTAACCCATATAACAAACCTTAGGTAATGCTTAACTACGGGTTTTGTTGGTCGCTTTGTCATCCTAGGCAATAATTATTTTTTTGGTTCCTCGAATGATGAAGACAATCAAAGTATCTTCAGATTCGTCTTCATCGCGCAAAGACAGTCTCCACCTGATTTATTCACCTTTGGTCTGCACTTCTTGTGACACAAATCTCATTCACGAGAGTGGCGGTTACTCGCCTCCGCTTTAATATAAATTTTCTTCTTCGAACCGGCTTCTTGAGGCACCGGTCTCATTCAGTGGTGACACCTAAGACGACCACTTGTATGGTTGTTAAGTCAGCCCCCCCCTGCTCGTGATAAAAGGAAAATCAACGCCTCTCTTAGTCGTTGCACGTCCAATCCTCCACGAAGTGGTCTGGGGTACCCCTCCTCGCCCGAGCACAAGACTCGAATCTCAGAAGTCGGGTTATCTCCACCGAACCGACAAAGTACCCCCCTTGTAGAACCGTCCACTCTGAGTCGATAACAAGGTCGGCTCCTAAAACAACGACCCCCCCCCCCAGATGCTTCCTTGAGAGAGGGGAATTATCGGAGTCCATGTGGAATCATTAATTTTTTTCTCCCTCACAAAAGTAGCTTAGGCGAAATAAAACCAAGGGAGGCAGAGAAAAAAAAATCATTTAAACAGGTATCGACAAATGTAGTCATTCGGGATAGAACGAGCGAACCTAAAAAAAAAAAAAAAAAGTCAAGTTCATTTGACTTTTTCTTCTTTATTGTTGCAGGTTCCTTTTACGACGACGGTTGAGCTAACTCTTTCCAAAGCACAAGTCCTGTTAACAAGTATGCAAAAAGAAGGTAGAATGAAGAACAATTTTTTTACGATTCCCAGCATGTGCCATCAACTTCATTCGCAAGCACCTTTCTACCTACATGCACACTCAAAAGCAATCAGGAAGTCCAATAATTCAGCAATCCACACTCACAACAGATCCCCACTCTTCACATGCATGACCACACATCCTCTACCTTACCTTGTTCCTTTGAATATTCAAATGAAAAGCAGGGTTAGGCAAAGTGTGGGATCACAAAGGTGTGAACGGGGAATTGAGTCGCTAACTGACCTTGAGTGAAGTTTGAATTGGCTTACTCATGATAGTCAAGTGGTCGCAATAAAAACGTTCTAAGTTCTCGCTAAAGCTAATAATATCAAGTCGCCATTTTGTAATCAAATGACGGTTTGCGTCCTCCTCCACGAACCCGAACATACCAAACATGGGTTCACTGCGAAGACTTAAGTGAGATAACCCTCTAAGAGGGTGCTCTCAAAATAAGTCTCACATGGTCCAGTGTTCCAGACAGTTGTAATGCAGTCCCAATTGCACCACAATTTCCAAGGGTTTTCCCAAATCAAACCGCAAGTCCAAACCTCCTCTAATTACCACGTCCCACGCGGATAAGTTTCAAGTATGGGAGCAACAAACCGCTTGGGTCCAGAATCATGAACCCCAACTTGGTTTCAACTGGTCCCAAAATGGTCTCAAGTGACCCCACTCTATTACCTGCAGCTCCAATGGCTTCAAATGTAAAAACCGCTCTCACCACCCGCTAAAAAAAAACAAAAAGCATGACTCTGGGCACAAAATCACAAGTGTCCCGAGTCCCAACGATCACTCTGACACGCACATCCCCTTCCAAGTTGCAAGGTTCGCACACCCAAGTCGTGTGATCCCACATATTCCCACAATGTCGTCAAGTGGTTCCCATAGTCTCATTGGTCTCACACATCAGGGAACGCGTGTTGCACCATAAAACACAAATCACACCCTGCAGACTTGGAAAACCTATTTGGAACCGGATCTCTACTATCTTCCAAGTACCAATACCTCCCCTATACTATATTGGTCTGCTCCAAAGCCTTCAATCACGGTCAACGTATGTATACTACTCCCACAAAAATAAACTGTATATTTTGTCTCGTCGCACCGTCCGGATCTAGCCCCACAACCTGGAACAACGTCAGTTCTACCCTAAAACACAACCTCAGTTGCACACAGTATCAGGAAAAAATAAAAAATACTGTCACCTTCTTTGTCGTTGTCGTCGGAATACCTTAACCCAAAAGCACGGGTAGTTTGTCATCAAACCCACAACAATTTAA